TTATTTTCTTCCTTCCTCCTTTAACTTCTGCTTTCGTTTTCCACTTTAGATGAATTTTATTATGTTGTCTAGATCTATAGATAACCACCTAAGTAGTTTGATTAGTACAACACAAAATCTACAAGTTAATTTAGAATGTAAGATCATTTTTATTATGTTGGTATGGCCCAAGCTTGAATAATGTCTCTACAATTATTTAAATCATTCTTTATTTCTTAAAGCAGTATTTATACTTGTACGTATTTAGGTCTTGAGAATATTTTGGTGAATGATTTTCAGACATTTTATAGGTATTGTGATTATTTTGAATAAAACTTTTCTTTATAACATTTCTTTAGGTTAATAGTGCATAGAAATGCTAATGATTTTTATTGATATATTTTATGTCCTCTTAATTTACCAAAGCTACTAAAAATATCTATTAGTTCTTTCATTGATTCTCTACCTAAACCATTAGTTCTTCTGAAAAACAAGCATAATTTTGCTCTTTTCCAATGCTTAGTTTTTCTAATTTCTTTCCATTTCCTTAGCTAGCAATTTTTTTACTATGTAAAAAATAAAAGTAAAAGAGAAAGTTCCTAGGGTTCCTTTTAGGTAGGAGGTTTTTGTTTTTGTTTTTTGAAAAACAACAACAACAACAATACACATGAGTAGTATATTTTGTCAAAGGCTGTTTTTCTGTGTCAATATAACAATGCATATGGTTAATTGAGAGGTGTAGTGGACAGAAAGTTGACTTCAGAATATGGATGAACTGGGTCCAAATCTCTTATGTATATTGACTATGTATAATCAAGTTATTTGGGCAAGTTATTTGAACTTCTCAGTGCCATTGGCAATTGTCTATATCTATAATTCTTTTCAGACAAAGCATTAATTGGCATTGGTAGAGGAAGGTACTCATTGGAGGTTACCTAGGTTGAGGAAATCACAGATCTGGTCAAAACAAAACAAAACAAAACAAACACTACCCCCTCCCCACAAAAACAAATACCAACAATGATTAATTATGTTAATTTGACTTAAAATACAGTATTCAAAATCCTTGTAGCATTGGTATAAATCCAACTTGATCATAATAAAGGATATTTTTAAAAATCCTGCTTTCCCTATGTTAATTTTTTTAGAAATGTTGCATCAACATTCATTAACATTCATTAAGGAAATAAGTCTGTAATGCTCTTTCTTACCTTCATGTATTGGGTACTGTGAACACAAATGTCTGATAACAGAAGTTCAGTAGAATGCCTACTTTGTAATCATTGATTATAGTACTTAAAGAATAATTATTAATTTTTCTTTAAACGTTTGCTAGAAATCACTTGTAAATCCATTTGGACTGAGAATTCCTGCCCTCCTCTCCTTTGTTAGTTTATTTAGAGCTTTCTATTTCTTTTGCTTCAATTGGTTACTTTTAAGATCTCTGTTTCTTACTTTGTTAATTTGGGCATTTTCTATTTTTATATAGATTGCCATCCGTCACATTAAATTGGCAGTATGAATGGGTTATAATTTCCAATACCTCTCTTTATTTCTTGTCAATTTCCTATGAATTTACCTTATTCATTTTCCCAATTTCAGTAATTTAATTGTTCCTTTTTTTCTTTTCAGATCATTATCTAATATCAATCCTGTTAATCTTTACAAATAGTTCTTTATTTTATTTACTGATTCTACAGTTTTTATTTCTCCCTTAATCTCCAACATTTCTTTGTGTGTGTTTTGGTATTGTTAATCTTTTTATTTTGAAGTATTTTTATTGTCCATAGTTCATAAATCCTCTTGATTTTATTAATGTTTGTTTTCAGATATATGCTTTTTCTTTTAATTACTTAATGGAGAATATTTAGGTAGAGTATCTCATAGGTATAGTACTTTTTAACATTTTTATGGTTTTCTTTGACTTATTATTTGGGATAATTTGCTTCATTTTCATTTTAGACTATATATTTTAGATTATTAACTTTATTGTGAAATTGTCTGTGAAGAATGTGTTTAATTCTCAGATTCTAAGAGGCAGTGGTGAAGAAGGGAGGGCACTCTCTAGCTTCCCAGTTTTTATAACACTGGTCTCCTTTTCTCATGAATAATATTACTCCTTAAATCACCTGCAATAATTACAGCCTTGTTTTTATGTCACTGTCTAAGGAAGAAGCATCTGCGGGGAAGTGGCTCCACCATTCTTCTTCCACCCCACATTGATTGCAGAGGCACTGCCACTAATGTGGCTGGCATGTCAGTCTGGCTAGAACAGCAAGGCACCCTGAAGAAAAGACAGGAGGAGGGTTTTGCTGGGAAAGTCAAACCACTGTCATCTTTATTAGCACTTCCCCTTAGACCCAGCTGAAGACAGTCAAGAACCATGTGACCAAAGTACTGAGAATGGCAACACTGCCCAGAACATGAGCCTTGCTTCCAAACTAACACACCTCCCAGACATTGTTAGAAAGACAAGCCTTGTGGAAAAGTGGTCCAGTATTCCTCTTCCCTTACCAATCGCTGGCCAACTACCAACAAGGTGAAGGTAAGCTCAAGCAAGCGTTTCCTCCCAGGGTAGCCTCTGCTTCCAGCCCAGCCCCTACAGCCATCATTCAGAGGAGGAATCCTTATGTAAATGTAACCTAGCTACTGCTTCTGTAGGTACTGCCTCATCCTTAGCAGTCACAACTCCTGAGGAGTCAAAAAAGAATGTTCTCTCCATTAAAGTCTTTGACACTGTCAAATGGATTTGGCTTTACCAATAGCAATGATCATAAAGAAGACTCATTAGCACCTGCTTTGGGCTAGGCACTAAGGACTGCTGGGTTTTTCTTCCTGACTTGTAGCTAAGACTGGCTGTATGTGTTATCTCTCACTCCCCAACCCACACAATAGAATAAAAGGTCTTTGAAAACATTGACTCCCTTGACTTTCTATTTCAATCTTCAGTATTTAGGGCATATAATTAGCACTTAAGTTATGCTTCTTTAGTTCAATTCATATTTGTATTTTTATACTTATTTTTCTTAGCATGCTGGAGTAGGATCTCATTTCAGAAATGTATCCATTCTGTTTAGATATATGTACATTCTCTGATAATCTCATTTAGAAGTCACCATGTCTTCAAATTAATGAGTTTTTTCTGAAAAAACAATTCCACTCTGATTTCCTTCTTATTTATTTTTCTGTTAGATATATTCAACTCTGAAAGAAGCATATTAAAATCTCTTATAATTATTCTATTACTATATTCATCTTTAAAAAATTTGAATAATCTTAAATTTCAGAACTTTGGTGTTAAGGTAATGAATATGTATGCATTTATATATACATACATACACACATACACAAATATCTTTCCAGTTAATCATGCTGCCACAAGATACTATAGTAGACATGCTAGGAACATGAAAAATTTTAAACAGTTCCTGTCATCAGTAAGCTTACATTATTCTGGAAGAATGGTACTTCCTGCACAGGATTCATATCTTTCTTCTCCTGTGTAATGTACAGTTATATTTTTCCTCTGAAACACCTTCTTCCTTACTAATTATCAATCTAAACCTGCTCTTGGGAAATATTGCATTATTTCTTGGCACAGATCACTTGAATGTAGTGTTCTTTTCATTATGATATTTTCTGTTTTAGTGTCCCTTTTTTCTTTTTCTTTTTCCTTTTCCTTTTTTTTTTTAAACACATACAACTCTTAATAGAAGTCTGGATCATGAAGTTGATATAGTTTTGTGTCTTAAGGTTTTTTAGGTTCATATTAAGGAATTAGGAATCAAAAAAAGAGGTAGCACTGTATCTCAGCTGGGTGGTGTGATCATAGTAACTAATAGAGAGAAGGCAGAATTGATTGTCTTATATTGCTCCTGTTTCTTTGTATTGAATTTGTATTGAATTATCTTTGTATTGAGCAGAACACAAATGATTAATAGGGAGTTTAAACCCAAGATAAATAAAGACACATGTGAAAAAGAACGCATTCAAATAGCTAGTTTTGGATGACATATATCACAGGGTATTGAAAGATCTCACACATTAGATTGCTGAGCTATTTTTTGATGATCATTAAAAAAAATCTCTGAAAGAATATGATTAGAATATGATATCAAGATTATGTCTTGATTTTCAAAAGGGAAAGTATACTAAATCTGGAAACTATCAGCAAGTGATACTGATTAATGTGGTAAAATAGAAAGAACAATACCTCTGAAAACAGAGGACCTATGTTCATCTTCCACATCTAACCCTACCTTTGTGACCTTGGGTAAGTCAATAGGGACTATGATTTTGCTAATAAAATGTAAAGAGTCATTTAAATACTTTTTTTTTAAAATTTAACTGGGATGATTACAAGTTATCCTCTGATCAATCTATTTCCAAACCTGGTTTAAGGAGTCAAATGCAAGGTAGGCAATTTATAGTTGAAGATGACACCTGTATTGTGAAAGACAAATGAAAACACTTCATCATGTGGATCATTGGTCATATGCAGTGTGTAGTAGGTATCTGAATAAGAATATAATGAGTTAGTAATGAGAAAACCACCTTGAAAGCAAACTATGTAGAAACTTGGTAAAAGCGAGAACAAGTGGAAGTGTGAGAGCAGGCCCTTTTAAGTGTTCAATGAAATGATTTCTTGGAATTCAGTCACCAACTGCAAAGCCAAAATATGGCTTAATTTTGAAATTCTCATTTTAAATCAATAATTCTACTTACTTAATTTTAAATGTTGGACTTTCGACTGTGCCTAAATTCATTGCATAACACAATTGTGGCCTGGAAATACTGAGCAAGCAGCCTTTAGATTTCTTAAATTTTCCATAAAACATTAACTTTAACGATTAGTTTAAATGCTGAATTTCTACTTTGTGTTGGTAGACAAAAGCCTAGAAAACTGTTTAAAATTAAAACTTTATAAAAAGCTCTCCTTATTCACTTCTATGTGTACCAAAGAAATTTACTTATGATTCAGAAAAAATATATTTCTAACAGAATAACATCATTTTCTAGCATTCAGGAAAAATATTTCTTTATTAAGTACAGCTATTCTACAATGAATCACATGTACAAGATTTTGAATATTACACAGACAATCTACTCCAGGGGAAAAAACAACAACAACAGTATCTTGGACTGGCAGTTTTTCTGATTGAATCATTTGAAAGAAATAGTCATTAAGATATCCTCAAGGCACACACATTTCTTTTACTCATTGAAAGGAAACAAGGGCAAAACCTAAGAATCCCGCAAATTAATTGCGAACATTTGTCCATGATTAGTTATTTTCAAAATAATTATAACAAAGAAGAGATGAAATGTTACTTTAAAAATTAAATGATAACCCACTAAAAGGTTGCAGAAAATATATTAAATTTGTTCATATTTATGGTTAATAATTTAAACATCTAAGTTTTAAATTTATGTTTGAAACTCAAACTTCAGGATTTGGAGGAAAGTCCATAGTAAGTATTATCATTAAGAAACTAAAATGTAGCATATTTTCAGTTATCTACATTATTCTTACATATAAAAATATGAATTGTTGGAATCAACTGCCATATGAGAGAAGATGCATTTTTAATTGAAAAAAAAGATAGATTAAAAAGTGCCTGCGGATTATTGCAACAGTACAAGAATACACAATGTTTTAATTTATTAAAAATGTAAAACAAATTGTGAAAAGCAAAAGCAGGCTAAAAAACAGGAAGGTGCTCTATTGCCTTTCCCTTGCTTAGTCATGATACAAGATGATGTGACGCAGTAGATAAATGCTATTATTTGAGAATATAGATTTTAAACATCCCCCCCAAGCACTAGGCAAAAAAAAAATGTATGTACACATATATTTGCATACTTTTCCTCCATCGAGTATCACAATCTTGTTGTTACATAGTCTTCATGTACCACTGTCTCTGTGATGCTTAGCTCATAGTCTTTAGCACTGGCCTCTTCCCTGGCAGGCATGTCCTTTGGTATTATGGGCACAGTGTCCTCTACTACCAACTTCTCTGATTCCAAGGTGCAAAGGCTCTCGCTGAAGTGTAAATTCAAGGTCTCTCTGTTCCTTCTTTTTGTGTCTGCTAACCCACACTGTTCACTGAGGCCTGGGATGCTCCATTCACCTTTGCTGGCCAGTCCTCTTGCTTCCAGTTGAAAATGTTTCCCAAGTTCTTCATCTACCTGTTGACGTGAAACTTCCTCTGAAACCGAGAAGATCTGGTTGGTGTTTGCTTCAGCAGAGTGTGGTTTCGAGCGCTTATGAAACAGCCCAAGTGTTTGACATCGGTCACAAAGTTCACTTTCTTCTGCTTCTCTCTGGGGGTTTCATGAACCATCAGGGCAGCACCATTGCTCACGTTATGTCTCTCTGAAGCGATGGCTGCCGACCTTGGATGAATCATGCTGGTTATATCAAAGAGGCTGAAATTCTTTTTCTTTGTCTTGTCACTCCCTTCACTGTCACTCTTCTCCTCAGTCTCCAGTGGAGGCTCCTTTATAATTTTTGAAGATCGTAAAGAAGCAAGCTTGCTTCCTTTCAGCAATCCTAGGACTTCAAAACGGAAGCTGGAAATGTCTTGTTTTAGCTCCTAAAATCATTGGAAGAAAAAAAAGAGGGAGGGAGTAGAATCAGTTTAGGATTTTCATGAAGAAATATGAGAAATAATTTGGTTTCATTTCACAATTACATTAGACATGTTTATATCCATTGTCAGGAAGTTATTTGCTATTTTTGCTGAAATGAGATATCCCAGCTATCATCATCATCACCATTGCTGACATTTACGTGACTAAATATGACTAAAATGACATTTCTGGAACACCTGAGTTTGAGGTACCCATATGAAAGATGCCAGGGACTTGCTATTGTGAGAAGACATCTTAGATAGGCCTACCATGTGGATAGGAACATTCTTCTTCCATTGGCTACATAATTGGGACTTCCTACATCCTTAACACTACCTGACTGGGACAGTCTTACTTTAATTATAGTGGTATCTCATTTACCCATAGTAAGGTAATATTTTTTGTAATGTTTCACATTTTGTAATGTTTAGAAATGCCTTGAATTCTCAATTCTAGTGTGTTGCTTTGTAGTAACTTTGTGACCTTATGAAAACGTTTTGAAAATTGGCAAGTCATTTTATCTTCTGGTGTCTGTAAAATGAAGAAATTAGATCATTTAGCCTGCAATGTCCCTTTCCACTCCCAAAATTTGTGGGCTTGTGGTGTTAAGATTAACGAGACATATGATCATTGCTCACTTTAGGGGGAAAAATGGAAAGACCTATCAGGTATTTGGGACAAAGCCTTATCTTAGGATTTTATTGCCTTTCCTTTTTTTTTTCCCCCCTGCTCTTCTTTCCAGAAAGTTCTTTGTACGTATTACCCCCATGTGTTGGAGATTCTAAAATTTTTATCTTCAGTGTTAATTTCTTATTCACTCACAGGTTCATAATTTGTCAAAATATTTTCAAACTTTTATTTCATTTATCTAAAGCAAATAATATCTAAAATAGAGTTTTAGCTCCCATCCTTGCTAGTTCGCCATCAGTGTTAATTTTTAATCTTCTGGTCCCCAGGTTTATTACCTTGAAGTAGATGTTAATTTCTAACTTTAATTTGCTCCTTATGTTCTACTACTAAATTCTGCTTATGCTTTAGTGTCTTCTCGACCATCTCCCTACTGAATGTATTCCATATCCCAGACATCCCCTGTCAGGTTCTCAGTTCCACTTAGGCAAACTTTACTCAAGACTCATAGGTTTTCACTTACAATTTTTCCCATGTGTTATTTTCCCACATTAGGATGAGACTCTAACTCTTTTTATCAGTAGGTCTTTAATAAATGTTTTGTTCATTATACCTATGTTTTATCTGTCTTTGTTAATTTCTTTCAATGTATTGTAAAACTTTTTTTTTGTTTTTTTTTTGTGTTTTTGTTTGTTTTTTGTTTTACTGAGAATATTTTATTTGCTGGTATAAGTATTATAAAACTTCTTAAAGGCATCCTCCTTACTCTTCTTTAATACAACCTACTACAGTGCTTTACAGTAAGTCAAACAACAAAAATTTATTAAGTTCTTAGTATGTATAAAAAAAGGACTCAATTGTGTACTGAATAACAACATTTCATGTCTCAAAAATATAAAGTTAAGATTTTTGGGAAAATAAAAATCTTGATGTTTTACCTGGAGTAAAACAGATCAGAACTTTACAAGGTCATCTGTATTGTGACTATTCTAAGTATTCTAAGAGGAGGCAGTAAATTAAAGTTGTAGTAAATGGGATCCAGCATGAAACTTATTCTTTATTATTATTTTGGCAGTCTTCCATTGGAAAATATGAAGACATTCAAGGCTGCTGGGACGCAAGGGATTTAGCTGTGTTTTAGGCTCTTATTATATGAAAATTAGGACATGCTGTGTTTTGTCCAGTTAATTTCTCTTGCAATGGTGAATATAGAAATGGTTACCTTAAAGTTTTCCTCAGTAAGGCCTTCTTCGGTTTTAGCATCTCTAATCATTGCTGCAACATATCTCTTCACCAAGTTCCTCATAACTTCCTAAGACGTTTAATAACAATAGCACTGATATTAAATAGCCAGTTATGATTTCTGTTTCAAGTCCCCATTGAAAATAACATATTGCAAACACTTAAATTAACATACAATTATAATACGTGACTTACCTGGTACTGATGATGTCTTCTTAAATTATCAGCTGTCCGCCTCTGAAAAGAAAAGAGATATTTGCTTACATGTCAAGCAGCTTTTTTTTTTAGCAAGAATTATAAGAGGACACCAAAATAATAAATAGTAAAGGAACATAAGTATCAATATGGGAAATAAGATAAAAAGTGAAAGTTAGAACAGAGGCAGATTCTTCAAATATGTTGAATCATAGGAAAACAAAAGAAGCATTACTTGTCTAACAGATGATAATGGATAAATAATCATAGATGACAGAAAGCAGGAAACATTTATTAATGTGTTCACAAAAAACATAAAAGGGAACCAGACACTAGAAAAAAGGCCAAGTATTCGGTAGGAAACCAAGCTGGTTAGGGAAGCCCTAGTGATAGACCTTTTGAAAAAAAAAAGAGTCAACTGTGTAAAAACATGATGATACTGGCAACATCCCCTTAAGATACTGAAGGAATTAGGCAATGCCTATAATAATATAGGAGGGAGATTATACCTAAAGAATGAGATAAGCATTTTGCCATTGCTATACTTACAAAAAATTGAAAACAGGTTATACAATTAAAAAAACCCAACAGAATACTAATTTCAAATATTCTGAATATACCTTTATAACTGAGTAATAACTATTTTCCTAATGAAATAAAGGATTTTGATTTTAGCAGGGTTGGGATTTTTTTTTTTAATTCTTCCTCATGGTAGGCCCGTGAAAGCAGGTAAAATAGAATTCTAATAAGAGCTAAGTCCATGAATAATCAGAGATTCATACTTCAACAAAGCATTCACAAGATACACATTTTATTTCCTTGAGTGGAAAGGCTGGATATGATTCTCCACTGGCCATGAAAAATGCATTTGTGATTCAGGATGATTAGTATAATTCTAAGGAACAGATGGGACAGGATCTGGCTTGCTAAACGCATATGAGTGAAAGCCACTAATTATTTTGAACACCATTCAATTTCTCATATAATTTATGGATTTTTAAATGTGATAAGAGTACTTAGAACCCAAAGGAATCTTAAACTGGAGTTTTAAAGATGATAACTTCTATAAGATCTATATAAAATCAGAACCAATTTGAGCAAATTGAGTATGCAATATTTAAAAATCAACCACCAGATGGAGTTATTGGATTCTTAATGAGAAAGTCCAAAAACAATTCAAGACCATTAGTAATGCCATAAGCAATAGTACTTGGAGTAAATAGGCAAAGGACTTGATCCTTCCAGATTTACTTAAATTAACTTAAATTTGAAGATCTAAAATAACTCTAATTTTATACCAAGTTCATCAACAATATTCTTGCAAAATAAGGTTTTCTTAATTAACAAGTATTCATGTTATGCTAAGTGCTGTGGATACAAAGGAAAAAACAAAACAAAAAAAACAATCTCTGGCTTCAAGGAGTTTACATACCAATAAAAAGAAAAAAATGTATGCATGCATGTATGCACACATGTAGCTATGTATATGTCCATATACACACGCATATCCAAACACTGATATATGTATATGTATACATAATATATGTGTGTATGCACATACATAAATGCACACATATACTTATGCGTGCATGGATATGGATACACATGCATACATACATATATACGCACAGTACATATACATATGCATGCATATCTATATGAAAACATATATTATGTACATTATAACATAAAATGCATTGAAGACCACAAGATACATGCTATATATGTGTATGTATATGTATATACACATACATGTGTATACTACACACATGCATAAATACATATACACACATACATACATACACACACACACTTTTCCATAGGGAAGGTGAATTTAATGTAGAAAGATGTCTTATTCTTCATCACACATGATAGGGGATCCAGATTGAGAACTGGATGGGACCTTAGAAGTCATCTTGTCCAATCAGCTCATTTTACAGACGAAGAAACTAAGAGTGAGAGAGGTTAAGTGATTCATCCAAGGTCACCTATGTGGTAAAATAGAAGAGCCAGGAATTGAATCCAGTTCCTTTGACTCTAATTTCATCACTTTCTATTGCAACACATGTTTCAGCTCTGGATTTGCGATATTACTCTGGATTTCTGACTATTGTGATTTTGGATTTTCTCATACTATTAGTCATTTTGTTCATTTATACACAGATACTAATCAAGTATCTTCAGGATTGCAGGTTCATTGTGGTATGAATAATAATATAAATAATTTTATTTGTATTTGACTTTGGAATAAAGTGTTATGCTATTTTGGAGATCCCATAATTCAATCTCTTTTGTTTTATAGATGAGGAAATTGAGTCCTACGTAACTGAAATAATGTACTTAAGGTCACAAAGCATGTTAATGACAAAGGCAGAACAAAAACCTATATGTCCTAATTCCTAATCCAGTATTATTCAATTATGCAATACACAGAGAAAAACGAGTACAGTTGGTATATACAGTCCATCTCCTTGACTTTCCCATCCTGATGCATCTTTATGCCTTGGCTCAGATGCCTGGTTATATTCAGTGGGCATTCCTCTCAATTGGATTAGAATAGGTAGGCATATTCCATGGTGGTCCTTGTAGACCCCAATCAGTTCTCTTTTCATAGACAGAATTCTTAAAAACTGCTTGGTCTAATAGGTACTTCTCATACCAAAATTTACCAGTCAATATTGCTAATCAACAATAAGCATAAGCGACTTTATAATATACAGCTACTCTCTAGCCATGATAATAATAATAATAATAATAATAATAATAATAATAATAATAGCTAGCATTTTTATAACACTTTAAGATTTGCAAAATACTTTACATGTGTCAACTCATTTGAGCTTCACAACTGTGCAACAGCACTTAGCATTACACGAATACTTGTTAATTAAGAAAACCTTATTTTGCAAGAATATTGTTGATGAACTTGGTATAAAATTAGAGTTATTTTAGATCTTCAAATTTAAGTTAATTTAAGTAAATCTGGAAGGATCAAGTCCTTTGCCTATTTACTCCAAGTACTATTGCTTATGGCATTACTAATGGTCTTGAATTGTTTTTGGACTTTCTCATTAAGAATCCAATAACTCCATCCTCTAACTGTCAAAACTGACTCACTCCCTGATTTTTTTTCTCTTGATTATAGTTATTTTTGTGATGTTCTGTCCCACAGAGTCAAGTGTAAGTTCCTTGAGGACAGGGATGGTCTTGTTTTTAATCTTTCTGTACTCATCACCTAGCATAGTGCTTTATATGTAATAATAATCATAATCATAAGAACTTATTTATGGATAGCTTACTACATGCCAGGCACTATGTTAAGTGCTTTACAAATATTATCTCATTTATTCTCACAACAACTCTGGGAGGTAGGTGCTATTATTATTATTATCCCCATTTTACAGATGAGGAAATCAAGGCAAACAGAGGTTAAGTGATTTGCTCAGGGTCACATAGCTAGCAAGTGTCTGAGGCTGAATTTAAACTCAGCCCTTCTTGAATACAGGCCCTACACTCTATTCACTGTGCCACCTAATAGTATACACTTAATAAATGCTTATTGAATGGCTGCCCGGATGGCATGTTAATTAAAGCATTATGTACAAAATGGTCGTGGCAGTCTTATTTTTAAAGGGAAGGGGCACCCACTTTGGTCAGGACTCATAGTTCTATGAATGTAAGCAACTAATTGTAGTTTCATCCTGATTATCTGGGAGCAGAGAACAGTGGAACCTAAATTTTAGCACTAATGCCAAAGGGAACCTCTCAGTGGAGAGAGACTGCCGAGAAATATGTGATGCTGTGGTATAACTTACAGCTTTTGATAAAAGTGTCAAGTTGCTTCAGAAAAGGTAGGGCTTGATAGCTATGGCACTGGGGCTCAGGGAATAGTTTGTGACATTTTCTCTTTCTCCCTATCTCTAGTTATCTCCAGGTCCAGAATATTAGTCTCACTTCATGCAGCTGGTACCCTGCTGTCAATTTCCAGGGTAGTTCTCTCTCATTTCCTTTCTAGTTTTGGTCTGCTGCTGTTCTTAGGACTGGTGTAGGCCTTGGGCTTTTTCATTCTTTTCTGCATTCCTCAAGGGAGGCAGCCTGCAATGTTCTGCTTTTCAAATGAAGCAATGAAAAAAGAAAAGAAAAGAAAATATAATGGGAAAGGGGCCAGGGCTGTAGATATGCTATAAAAACTCTCCAGCTTGATTCTTTTGCATATTATTTGGTAAGAATCTACATATTGCCATCAACTGGACTACGTTCCAACCTAGTGAATTGACACTGAATGAAATGACCAGACTTAGCATTATCAAGCTGAGTATTTAGGACACTTTGCATATGAAATACAGAATCTTTGCTCCTACCAAATAATCTATAAACTGTGGAAGTGGAACAGAAAATCTCTTAGGTCCCTTCTAACCCTACTAGTCTATGATTTCATCTCTTGAAGCCAGGGCCCTTTGGGGTGGAGATGGGAATGAGGTGTACCCTGCATAAAGATAATGTGAATCAGGGAGTGAAGAGGTTTTAACAGGAAGGCAATTGCCCTGAACTCTTCCTCCTCCTCCTGATCTTACAACTATAATTAGCAAAGGTCATAAACTAGAAGGGGCAATGAATTTGAATAAATCCTTACTTGTAGTACCAAATTTGAGAACTAAGACTCTTTATCTATCTATCCATCCATCCATCCATCATCCATCCATCCATCCATCTATTCATCCATCCATCCATCCATCCATCCACCATCCATCCATCTATCTATCTCTATCCATCCATCCACTCATTTATTTATTTGTTTATTTATTGACTTTGCATCTCCATCCAACACTTAAGATAAAGCATTGTGCAAAGTAGGCTCTTAATAAGAAAGGGGGACAGGTTCTATGATAATCATTGGCATAGACAAATCTCAGATGAGAAGACCCCCTTCTACCATAAAGCAGATCTGCACTTTCTCTGCCACTTAGGATTAATTTTTCAGAGCTGCCTAAAACTTTGAGAAATTAAGTGACCACTCAATGTCACACAGCCACTATTTGTCA